TGGCACGTCGCGATGATTGTCGTGCATTTGCAGATGAACATAATTTAAAACTTATCACTATCGCTGATCTAGCACAATATCGTTTAGATAATGGACTTTTTGAAATTTAGACATAAATGTTAATTTATTGTAAATGTTAATTATAATACATAATAAATTATTTGTTAGACTTTTTTTTGTATCATCTAATAAATCTTTTTATGCTACATTTTTCACTGGTCTTTCTGACAAACCAGGTTCTTGTGTTGTCAAAGGCTAAAAAATGTAAAGAATAAAATTAATTTCGTGAAATATCGTAAATTTAATTACGTTTATATTCCTTACATTAACTCCATCAAACTCCACTCCCGAATTTAGTAATTCTGGCGTCTCCTGTAAATATGACGGCTCCTCTTCCTCTTCGAAATTTAATTCATCATCCAGTGCCTCCAATTCTACATAGATTAAATTATCAATGTTAATAAACTCCTTGATATTGTATAGCTTTTATTCAATAAATACAATAAATACCTGCTTCCAATTCTTCTTCATCAATATCCTCAGGAAGTCCATATGTTCTACCGAGCGTTTCTTGTATTTCATTAGCTTGTTCCATCAAATCTTCCATATCGTCTTGAACACTCTATTAAGATAATTTGAGTATATCTGGATATTACATATATTACTGATAATTGAATAAATACCTCTATTTTGTTTATGTCAATTTTCTTATATTGTTTTTGCATTTCTTTATTTGCTAATTGCATTGCATCAACGGTTGTAGCCACATTTCGCAAATTCTCGGTCGTAAAACTTGCCTGTTCCATATTGAAGGATTGTTGTTGAAGTTGGTCGCGTTGACTCTCATACCTAAATAATAGAATTTTTATGAATTCGAAAAATTCGAAAGAATAATTTATCCATTCCATAGGCAAATCCATACATTTTTTTTTGCTTCAAAACTCTCAGAGCTTTGTTTTTAACTGCATTCTATTAGAAGAAATGATATATGAATGAACCGAAGGCTATTCGAAAAGCGTGAATTAAAACATAGAAAGACGGTATTTATGTCAGTCATAAATAAAAGATTTTGAATCAAACTGACTTTTCCCGGTCCCTCTCTCATTTTTTTCATTTGATCTTTATATTTTGCCAATTCTCCATCAAGTTTCTTTATCTTAACCTCAACCGCAGAAACTCTGCCGTCCGTCTATAACAATAATATTTGAAAGTACCCTTGTTAAAATCTCAATATATATCAAAATAGTAAACGGTAAAAGTACAAACCGCGACAATAGCATCGTTCAATGTTGGCTTTGGTGCCTTTTTAGAGGTCCCAAATAGACGATTCATTGTTTCGTTTCCGTATGTTTACTTTCATGAACATGAATGAATTTCTTTTTAATCGGCTCTCGTTAAATGTGATTGGATAATATTTTTAGATCTCAAATAGGTCAGTGCCAAAGGAGTAAATTTAGCCGGCAAAGATCGGCTTTGCCTAAATTATAAATTTAATATTGGATAAAAAAATTATCTAAAATTATCCAAATTAAACATGTGACCATTATTCGAAACTAGTTACGGCACAAGCCGGCATTTATAATCCAAATATTTGTGATTTTCCAAATAAAAACAATTTTTTGTGTTTCTGAATACAGGTAATTGTAACTTACGTATTTAAACACTTTACATATTTACTGTGCAAAATAATAATCATTCTCTTATGCGTATAGTTATCAGTCGATCAATATGTCACATGTAGAATTTTTAATAGTGGGTCAAATGATCGACGCACCCAAATTTTATAAGTAAAATTTTGCTCAAA